TACCTTGGGTTCCACCTAGACTCACGACTAACGTGACATCAACATACACGACTGACACGACAAAACCTAAACAGACGGTATGGTCTACTGCACAGACTTACAGGATGACAGTCTAAACTATCGACAAAAAGCAATCTTGCAATTTACAAAACACTACTACAACCGATTTGGACGTACGGAATAGAACTGTGGGGAACCGCTAAACCTTCCAATATCCAACGTCTCCAATCCTTTCAATCTAAAGTCCTCAGATCCATTGTAAATACTCCTTATTATGTCTCAAATGCTACTCTCCACAACGACCTTCAAATTCCTTATATCCAAAAATGTATTCCCCAAAAATTTACCAAGTTTCACAAAAAACTCTCCCACCATCCAAATAGTCTTGCCCAAGCCCTGCCCGATAGAACCATCCCTACAACCCCATAAGGCGTCTTAAGAGGAAATGGCCCCGCGACCTCCTTCCCAGTAAACTGTAAAACAAACATAAACAAAGTGAAGAGGGAGGATAACATTGATTATTTTCTCCCCTCAATGTAAATAGTTGTACATAAGTTCATGTATCCGCAAATTACATATTGTAAATAACAATTACAGATTGCAATAAAAATAAATAATATTAAAAAAATATAAAAAATATGTTGACTGCAGCTTGCATTCGACGTGGAATGGATTTTACAGGTTTTGAATGTAGTGCTGAGGAATATTTTCATACTACTCCTACAGTGCTATTCTTAATTCCTCCAATTTCTCTGGCATCACTGGATCACTTTTTACCCTCTTTCAAAACTCGTCCTAAAGGTGTTCGATAGGGTTTAAGTCGGGTAGACATGTTGGCCACTCCAATTAAATTGAAGCCCGTTCCAAGTAGACACCAGACAAGCTGTGTGGGGCCTTGCATTATCATGCATAAAAATAAAACTGTCGCGTATAAGGAACAACTTCTTAACACATCTTCAATGTATCGCGCAGCTGTTAGGGAACCGTCAAAGAAGATCAAGTTTGTGCTACCTTCCATAGAAATGCCTGCCCAAATCATAAGACCACCACATACATAGCTTCTCCGGAATGAAAACTTTGCAGGGATATTCGGTTTCCTGTTTTCTCCAAACCCTCCCTCGGCCGTCAGAAGACCTGAAACAAAAGATTGAATCATCCGCAAACAAAATTTTAGACCTTTCTTGTTCAGACTAATTGATGACACGAGCTGTTCTGTGCATTGTCAGAAGTTCTGGACCAGTGGCAGGCCTGGAATGTCGTTCCTTGATCTCAACTCGGTAGAATGTCGATTACGGAGTACATTCGAAATAATAAAAACGATCAACTCTCTGAGATGTGATACGTTGGCGAACTGATATATGTCTTCTTGTGTAACCTCCAGTACCTTGGTAGTGATGGAAGACCCTTCGGACAGTTGTTCTGGCAATGTTAAGGTAACGCTTGACTTCTTCCATCTTCCACCAATGCCATGATTCTAGCCGAATCTGTATCACATAAAACCAATACTCAAATAAATATGAACCTTACTAAAAAAATCATACCACCGGAAAGTTGGAAAGAAGCTTTACAGAAAAACGAACAAAGAAGAGATTGACAATTCATAGATTTATTTACAAAATCCAGTGGGTAACACAAGTGGAAGATTTTATACGAGCTTTATTCACCTCTAATCCTTGAAAACGGGCTACATATTGTTGTAAGATAATCAATGGAGGATTGTCTAAGAGATAACAAAAATATTAAGGGTGGCCACCTTTTTGTTGCCTCTTAGTGTAGAATTGAGTCAATTTAAAGACTTCGGCCGTATGTTTGACTTCACGGTTTGGCCATCGGGTGAAAAGATGTTTTGTACTAAAAGATAAATATATTTTAACCATGATTAGAATGGAATTTTTTTGAACGTAAGATTTCAAAAAATATGTCTTTTCGCTTCGTGTTTATGCTTTTAAACAAATAGTAAAATTAATTGAATTATGTTGATCTGGGTGCGGTCTGCGAGCCTGTGACATGTTGAACTGGCAGTGGGTTTGCACCATCTTCAGTGAGCTGCTGTCCGAGTAGATCTTACATGTCGTTAGGTAGGGGGAGTAACCAACATACAGCAGAAATAACCGTCATAACGACCGATCAATGAACACCATGACCACGCCACCTACCGCATACGATCCTAGCGACAACCGACGGACCCAACGACAAGTCCTTCTCGGACAAGGTGACAGACAGTTCCTCAGTGAAGATAGCGCAATATCGAAACGCATTTGGGTAGTACAACTAACTAGACGGACCCAATAAGTGACCCAATGCCGGTTCAACAGAATCGAATTGTGTTTATAATAAACTTTGTTACTTAAACTTTTTAAAACATATAAATCTTATAAACAAGTTGGAAATTTGAATGGTTGTCGTTTGAATATATAATTGCTGGTGTAATATTTGGTATACAAATTATTTGCAAGTAATTAAAAAATTTAAAAACAATTTATTATTTCAGAAGGCTTGTATAAATTTGTTTATCTCCATTTACATACACATTACGAGGGTGTTTTGAATGAGTGATTGGGCCAAGTAATAAAATATAGATTTTTTCAACATAGAACATTAATATTTTTAGCTTGTTTTTAAAAGTAGGTATATATACAACGCTCTCTCTAGTTATAAATGCAAAGTTTCGTCACTTGTGCCATAAACATTGGCATTTTGAATTATTTATTCCACCTTAATTAAATCATTTTTGGATTAAAAACAACTTATATAATAGTCTATCTACTCAGGTGGTCGGCACAAAAATTAATAATTGACTAATAAAACTGTCAAAACATGGAAACCAAGAAGGAAAAGAGAAAATAATTGTAAACTCATTGTAAAAATAATTTATCTCCTGATTACTATTGCTCTCCTCCTTAGCATAATAATACTTATATCTATAGAATTTCTGATATGTAATCTATGGAATAATAATTAATTAATTTTGTCACTATATGTGCAAACATTCTAATTTTTAAGCCACCCATTTCCGGATCATTGGCATATAGCAACGAAAGTTGTGGACCTAGTATACACCCTTGGGGCACCCTCGCATTTCTTTTTCTTAACTCTGAATATTCATCTTCATGTTTGACCGTAAAATGTCTATCAGTTAATTAGGAATTTTTACAAACTGTCTCTTTTAGTTTTAGTATCTTTATATCAGTCGAAAGGGTGTGAAGCATCAAGGAAGTTAGACAAATCATTTAATATTCAAGAGATTTTTTTATTCATCCGTTACTAGGTTAATTTGGCGGTTGAATTTTTCGGCCAGAATATAGTAATATCTTTTCAAACACTTATATATTGTTGGTGGTAGTGATATAATATGAGTATATTTTCAAGGTTTTAGTATTGTGACGACTTCTACAAATTTCCAGATATTGAGCTATTTTTTAGGGTGTAATAAGCTTTTAAATAAGGAATGGTTGTTTACATAAGATATATTTTAAATTCTACTCTACTTACATTTCCGGTAGTTGTTATAGATATTTTTTAAAATGGATTTATGGTCTGAAATAACTATATAAATTAAAAAAAAAACATTTTTCAAATTTTTTGGATCCATCATCAAAGGAAACGATACAAAAATTAATGCACGAGGGTTAATGGGGTCAAGATTACCCGAAATGTGCTGGAAACGAATTGAGATTGATATTAAAAACCACCTTAGAGGCCAGTCGATGTTTCAAAACTGAGAAAGTTAGGAAACAATAATTTGAAAGTTTTCTAATGTAACGGCTACCCTTCGTTTCATCACGCCGATCGCACTTTGTCCACTGGTTCTTCTCAAGAACTGAGTCAACACTCACGTCGATGTTTGCACAATCCCCCCCCCCGTGTGGCGTACGTGCAATGCAATTTTCCCAAATACGAAAAGGTCAGACGGGCGTGGGCTTTAGAAATGGGCCTTCATAACTTTCTTATTTATACAGGACTGGACGGATGTTGTTGTTTCACCCCTCGGCTTATCTGCCGACTCAGTAATTTAATGACGATGTCTAAAAAAGGCCCGAGGAGGTGCTATCCGGAGGCATAAAACACACTTAAATGTCAACTCTTTATGTTTCGGGCAACGGTTCCTTAGTAAACAATGATTTATCACTCCTGGAAGGACACCACTCTAGGCATTAATTGCATTGCAAGGTTATGATTAAAAACGGGAAGGCTTAATTTTTGTAGGTTCTAATGATTTTAAATATCATATTAAATTATGACCAAAATTACTTCATTAATAATATTCTTGTCAGAAACCCATAGCAAATGTAGGACGAGCGGTTTAACCAGTCCTAAAATTATTTACGAACGATTTACAATATAGACATTGCCAATACAGACAGTATAAATATACGTAGAACTATAACCTAAGAAGGATTCTTTACTTCATTAAAGAAAAGACAATATTTTCAGAAAAAAGATAAGCAAAAATAATACTTAATAGACGAATGTTTAGGGAGCTGTAGGGCAAACTACCATTCCAAATGAGGAAATATGTGTAGAGGCTGTCCCGTGTACAGAAAATTTTTCAGGCGTCAACTTATCAAATTGGACTAAAAAATCTCTGTTGTCTAAAATCCCAACCGTGTTCGAGATATTTCACTTTTCATGTTTAACATTTCACTTTTTTCTATAAATCCCCAGGTTCCTCAAAAAATATTAATTCTACGGGAGATATGATTACTAGAGTGGGAAGATCATCTAAAACCCTATGAGGTTCCTTTTTATTGCTGCCGTTAAAAAAAAAATCTTTGAATAATTTAACTTTTTACAAAGTTCTTGCCTTAACTTTAATTTAGAGGTTCGTAAATACTGACAGTTATGGCGCTTACAGGAACGCAGTTCCTATTATTAAGTTAACATAGTTAACAAGTAAGTAAACATATCTTAACTTCTCAAAGGTCCATTATCACCGTTGTTTAGAATATAAAACTCGCATTTTTTCAACAAGAATTTTGAGATTTTGTTTCGTTTTGTAGGTTGTTTGGAATAACGACAGACGCAGCTGAGAAGCAAGTCGTGCAGCAACAGCTAGATGAAGAGAGAACAGTCAAGATAGCAGAAATGGAAACTTCACGCAAGTACGACAACAGGGTGAGGCACCTTGCAAAGGTCACTTCGAAGGCGTTGCAGGCGGCGAATCCCCAAGGGCAGCAAATGGACAGGATGGTCGCCTTCAGGAAGAGAATCCTCGACAAAAGACAGAAAGACCGAGAAGCCCAGAAATCCAACTTGAAACTTCCGGAAATACCCAAAAAAATCGAACAGATTGAAGCGTTCTCGAAAATGGGCTACCACAAGCCTAGAATGAACAGGAGGGTCAGCATTTACGACAGTGACGGCTACAAGATCAGAGGTGACGTCGCCATCGGCTACAGGCCGATAATCGATCCGGTCCTCTTTCCCATGAAAAAGACGCTGAGAAAGAAATACAAGCCGAGAGGAGTTTTCCAGAAAAGGTTCTCAATAGAGGACAAACCGCACTCAGAGAAAGGATCCGAGGCATCCACATCTAAAAAAGAAGATGTTCGCGTAGAAGAGGAAGACGATGAAGATGAATTTCGTGATATTTAATTTGACCCAATAAGCTGAAAAATCTTAATAGAAGTGCAGTGCAAATAAAACTTCTCTACAATTTCTAACTTTATTTAATTAATATTAACATTTTGTAATGAAAACAGTCTGTTAGAAACGACTCAATCTTGCATCGAAATAGGTGTACTATCACAATGTTTCTGATCTATTTCAATTTTTTCGTCTTGATGTGGTGGTGTGGCTGTTTTTATTTTTGGATGTTTTAGTTTAATTTTTTTCGAATAGTCTATGTACTAACAAATGCTGTCATATTCCTGAAATTTATCCAGCATACAAAATTTGGTAATATAATGGGCGGAAGATTTGAAAATCCAAGTAAATGGTAGCTTACCACCTTACCACCTCGAAATATACTGATTTGCCAACTTGTAATTACTTCTTGAATGACAACAATTTCCTCCTTATAGACATTGGCAAATGATTTGGTGTTGTATTTATGCTATGACATGTTGCAGCACTGTCCCACGCCAAAATTAAACAACAAGGAAAGGAATGACATTTGCATTAATACGTATTCGTTAGCATAATCTATGATATCGGCGGGCTGGGGCCGATAAACTTTATAAAAGTAACAAGGGGCGTGTGACAAAAGACAAGACCGTAGAGGTAATCGCTTTTCAACGTGGTTGAACATGATTTCAAGTCGATAAACAATGTTAAATAGTCAAGCCCAATCTTGATCTTTATGTTTGAAATAAAGACACAATGGATTTTTTACTCTGTAATATTTTCTGCCACAAGCGATTTTTTTTATGATTAAGGTGATCAGCTCGATAGGATTATGCCTCATTATTAATCCAGTCGGCTTAGAATTGGGCAAGCCGACTCTAGAAATTCCAATTGTTCGACCGCACTCCTTTCTCTCATCGGCCAAGGACGATCCAGCGAGGTCCTAATTTAATTCACATATCGTAGTAAAGTTGAAAGTAATTACAGTATTAACGATAACGGCGAATAAATTAATGTTCTGCTTTGGCAAAATTGCTATTGATAATGAATCGATCCTATTTTTTCTGGGCTAATGCCTCCATGGAATAAGCAATGTCGTCAACTGCTTGCCTTAATGGACAAGAAGGAAAAAAGACACCGTTTTAATTGGTTTTCGAAAGTACTTCCATAATTGCTTACATGTCAGTAGCATGTCGGTTTTAAATTTTTTCCCCATTTAAAACTGTATTTCATGGTTTAATCATTAGATAGTTTAATTACATAAGGGCACTCTCAACACGACACGCAATAACATCTACACAGTAAACAAACACTTTGATCCCAAAAGATGTTCTCAATAAATTTCAAGAAAATAAACAAAGGTACGCTATGAAAGATACAAAACAACCAAACAAAATTTTATTTATACCGTGAATAGAAATCAATAAGGGGGACAATGAACTCAATTAACCCATTGTTTTTCTCTAGTTAATCTCATTATAAAAAAAACTCTTAGAATGTGATGATATTTGTAAATTTAGATGAGGGTATGGTAATATTAATTTTTTGTCGAGGCCGCCAAGTCGTTTAATTAAGAGGCATTAACTGAAGCAGCCGTTTTCACTCGTCCCAATGACATCGTTAAAATAATGGTAACTATATTTCTTAGTAATTGATATTCTGTATTGCATAACAACTTAAACAGTTTACATTTTACGAGTTGGGAAAAAATTTACTACATGGGTATTTTTATTTATATTTATCCCTCCTTCGCGACTTTCGCAGAACGGAACCCAAGACACGGTCTGCAGGAAGAAAAAGAAAGCCCGTTGTCTTCCTGCTTTTGCTTTCATAAATCGATTAAACCGAGCCCAAGGCAAAAAAAGAGTATAGTCATTATCTTAATCTTATAAAAAAAAGTCCGATTATAATGGAAAGATAATATAAGTGTGTCAAAAAACTTTCTTTTATTGTAGTAAAGTAGTAAAGGTCTTTAAGTAGTAAAGGTTTCAGTGTGAAGGAGTGTTGCCACTGGGCAACCTCCACCACAAGAGATTCAAATGAGAAATTCAACATACATGAACATATTTACTTAATACAATATTTATAATTGTAAATTAAGAACAATTTAATAAAAAAATCTTTGATAGTACTATTTTTTAAAAACATAATAGTCTAAAATTAAGTAAGTGATAGGTAAATAGATACTCAGACAGGTAGAGAATGATTTATAGATAAGAATTTGTCAGGTATATAGATTAGTGAATATACAAGTACAAATATATTTTTTAACTAAAATATATACTAGACATTAGATAATGATTGATTAAATATAAATGCAGATAAAAGTAACGATAGAGTAAATGAGAGAGAGTAAATAACGAGTTTTCTACCCGTTTAGGATATTATTTTTATTTAACCGTTATTTAATTTTCCGACGAACTACTCGATTCCAGGAAAACTTGTGGATGTTCTCGGAAAAGGAGCCACTCCAAATATCAATCATATCAATTGTGTGGTTACCGATAGGTACATGAGATCATGTTGAACTAGTCAAATACATCAATTCTCCATTTCGCAACTCAGCCGGTAAGTGAAAATCTAAAAACAGATAAAAACACATGCTTTTTCAAAGTGTTTTTGTATTTTAGATATTTCTGATTATACAATCATACCTTAAAGAGAGATTGTTCGCAGTAAACCAGGATACGGAGACTTCTGGGATGGAAAGTGCTTGCAGGTGTGCCACAAGGGTCAATACTTGCTCCGCTGTTGTACACAATTTTTACTTTTGATATGCCGACAAATGAGAATACACTCACCGCAACATACGCAGATGACACCGCCATATTAACAAGTCATCTCTCTTCTACACAAGCTTCACTCATGTTACAAAACCACATATCAACAATTGAAAAATGGAGCAATCTTTGGAAAATAAAGTTTAATTCCTCACAGTCACAACATATCACCTTTACACTCCGTCGTGAGACTTGTCGTAGCGTATACAATGTATTCAGCGATACAATGAACTTGATCTTCAATCCGACAAAGTTAACTATTTAGGACTTACATTTCATAGAAGACTAACTTGGAATCCACACACACGATTAAAAAAACAGACACTGAACAAACGATTTAAAATTCTTTATTACCTACTCAACCTACAATCAAAATTACCATTAAAATCAAAACTTTCGACATACACATACCTACTCAAACCTATTTGGATGTACGGGTGCCAAGTATATGGATCGGCGAAGTATTCCAATATTCAATGATTACAAAGTTTGCAATTCAAAATTTTAAGAATAATTGTTTCTGCCCAAACCCAACAGTTTTTTCATCCATGAAAACATATTACAGAGGTTTTCATAGTAAATTACAAAATCACACCAACACACAAATACGATTACTCCATTCCCCACAATTACCACGTAAACGTCTTAAAAGAATATGGATAAGAGACCTCTTAAATGATTAATATCATTTCATTAATCCAGAGCGGCTGCCAATGGGTAGCTTTCTCTATAACGCCCATAATGCGAAACAAATAATCTGAAATCCAATCTGCTAGTTGTATATAATACATGTACAGTTGCAGATACAAATAAATGAAGTAAAAAAAAAGAAAAGATATTTCATTAGATTCAGAAAGTATTTTTACATACTGAGTACAATTTCCGAACCGATAGGCTTAGATCTAGTTGACCTAGTCAAATACATCCATTCTCCAACTCGCAACAGTGCCCTCAACCGTTAGGTGCAGAGCGAAAAACCGGTACAAATACATACTTTTTCGAAGTTCTTTGGTTTTTNTGAGTGAGAGAGAGGAGGAAAATTTGTGGACGTTCTCGGAAAAGGAGCCACTCCAAACATCAATCATATAAATTGTGTGGTTACCGATAGGTACATGAGATCATGTTGAACTAGTCATACATCAATTCCCCATTTCGCAACTCGCCACTCAACCGGTAAGTGAAAATCTAAAAACAGATAAAAACACATGCTTTTTCAAAGTGTTTTTGTATTTTAGGTATTTCATTAGATTCAGAAAGTATTTTTACATATTGAGTACAATTTCCGAACCGATAGGCTTAGATATAGTTGAACTAGTCAAATACATCCATTCTCCAACGCGCAACAGTGCCCTCAACCGGTAGGTGAAAAGCTAAAAACCGGTACAAATACATACTTTTTCGAAGTTCTTTCGTTTTTTAGATATTTTATTAGTTTCAGAAAGTATTTTTACATAGTGGGTACAATTTCCGAACTGATAGTTACCCGAGAACAAATTGAACTCAAGTTGAACTATAACCTCAGGTTCATTTCCTTCTCTGAGAACAGTACTTGGGCTTGTCAAATTGGAATGGGGCTGTTTCCCTTTGACCAAGTTGCTGGAAGATTTGTACATGGACGACTTTATAACCTCGGTCGATTCGTTGGACGAAGCCAAGGGATTGAAGCCCAAGATTTGTTCAGCTCTGTCGGGCTTAAATTGATAAAGTGGTCGTCTAATAGTACAAGTTTGGTCCAGTGTGATCGGAGAGACACCACAATTAAATAATTTGAAAACGGATGTGGTGCTTGTTCCGTTCTGGGTGGGATCCGCGGTCTGATCATTTTGGATTTAAATTCACAAGAATGTTTGCATTACGCGCTTCATATTATGTATCATAGGGAGAATTTTTTGGACCACTATCCCCAACTATTTTGTATGTCAAGATGCTCATTAAACACCTTTTGCAGTCGAACATTTTGCAAATCCTTGGCTTAGTTAGAAAATTCTTTCTTTCTTCCCCTTCTGTGTTCTTAATCTTTCTTTATATCTGGCGACTGTCGGCGTGAGATCAACTGTTGTCGGCGGCTCTCCGAAAAAATGAGACAAAAGGTTTCCCGATTCCGTGTTCCTCCTCACCCTTGGTTTTTTCCCCCCTTTGACTGATCGTGGAGTTTGGAAGAATCGGCTGAAAGGTTCTTTATTTTATTCTCTTTTTATTTTTATTTTTTTCGAAATTTATTTTTCCAAAAAATTACAGTCCACTTGCTAGATAACAATACTAATTATTATTTTATATATGTATATATATAAAATATATATATTATTATTCTTATAATT